GGAGACCGTTCGTATTCACTGCTGCTAGTTGCTCTTCAAGAAAATCAATACGCTCATCCAAGCGATTAATATGCCTCTCCAGAATGCAAATCTGCATTGCACACCACTTCCCCTGATCCAGGTTCAATGAAGAGGCGTCCTCAAGCATTTCCAGTCGCTCCAGAAATGAATCAGCAGCAGTGCGGCTCATACGCAATCACAGATCAGCGAACAACCATGAAACCATTGCGCCNNGCCATAATCCACAAATCCATGGAAGTGTCAAGGCAATGCAAGGCATGGAAGACATGTCCAATCACAACCGTGGAATTTTCAACCGAGGTGACAACAAGCAAAATCGTTTTTCCTATGGCGTCACGCCAGGCGTAAGTGGAAGCACTTAAGACTAAAGGAGGGGCCCACCCACCCACCCAGCTAATCCTTCAGACAAACCCATTGGGAGACCCAAGGAGCAGGTGACACTGACACGGTACGGAGGGTTACATAATGGTTACGTCGGGGATCATGCAGGAAGTGTCCAGGAGTTAACAAAGGGTTCAACAAAGGGTTCGGGGTGCACACCACAATGCCACATGCATTTACGGATCTACAGGAGGTCCCTTTTTTGAAGCGTCCCTACAGACGGTGATACAAACTTTGTATGGAAGGTTGTACGAGGAGTCATGTAAGGCGGTGTAGAGATTATGCAAAGACTCAGATTGCGCGAAGACAGAGCCGCTATGCTGCGGCTCGAAGGCTGATGAACACGATTGATCGGCTCTGCATGAAAGCTGATTGGCAACTTCGTCATGAAACCAGGCGCTGAAACCGAACTGTGTTGGCCTGAGTCTTACGCAACTGGCGCAGAGCCGCGCGCCGTCAGACCGGACGCCTTTTTCTGCTGCGCTTGAAGCGGGATTTCCATTGCAAGGGTAGGAACCTGAGGCCACAGGTCGCAAAGTGGGCTACCGGCAGTCTTGCTGTGAGGCAGCGCGCGGTCCATAATTTGAACTAGCGGTTCTGGGCAACATCAGGCGCACAACAATGGAGCCAGCAGCTGATGGTTTCGGCGTTAGGGTTCAAGATACAGGAACCATTCGCAATGACTACCTCAATCTGCTTGTATGTGCCGCACACGCCAAGGGCCTCGCAACATCAAATTCCGAATTGAGGCGCAGGCCGCTGCTGAGATTTCTTCGTAAATGTGGGCGCGCGGCGTCAAAGACAGCCCTCCCCTCCGACTCAGCCATTTCCTCGGCTTGTCAGCCTGGCATCAAATCCCGGTGAAGTACACCCAAGCCTGTACCCTAAAGAGACAGAAATCATTCAATTTCTAGCTCCCTGACCTCCTGGACATCGAGCCGCCGAATCTTACATCACACCTGCAAGTCGTTGAAGGGCTAAATCACATCAACCAATGATTCACTCTCCACACCCCAGCCCCAGATCTGAGAGACCTGCTGCGCGCAATCAACGCCCTTTAGCCTCGCAACAACTGCAAGCCGCAAGGTCAGAGATCCAGACAGCACAGCCACAAAGATCTGAAAGCCCCACATCGCGTCCGCGACTGCTCACTGAGGCCCTGCCCGGATACCAGCTGGAGCTGCAAGATATGTTGCACAGATTGTCGCTGAGCAGCGCACGACTTCTTGCGCCGAGCGACACGCTCGCAGTCCACCTGGGCAACGCGTGGGCTGCAGTGGCACAAGATGCGGTGTCTGGACATGATGTCAATGTGGCTTGCCTAAAAAATGTTTTCCAGCGCTTGGTACATCTTCGTACCCGGCGCACGTCCGCCTATGCTTGAAAACGGCCATTTTAAATGGCCGTTAGCCCATCTGCAGTTGCCGGCTGGATTGTTTGTCTGGGTCGGCGTTTTCATTCTCTGTTTGGACAAGCTCAGCACAGTGAGGACAAGGTTTATTGGGGCATGGTAGGATGTTTTGGGAATACATTGAGGGGGGGGGGCATTTGGAGCAGTCATTGCTCGTGGCAAGTTGGCATTTAGTGGTTTAGCGTGTCAAGGTTACGGGTTTCAGGGCCTGGGTTCGGCTGTGTGGTACAACTGAATCAGCAATGTTCCCGGCAGACTGGCTGGATTTCCTGCTGGATCTTCTTTCGCTCAATTTCGGCACAGTGCGCAATTTGCTTAGGGGATTCTTGCCAGAGAAATGGTCCTGATTCCTATGAAAGATTGGCCATGATTCTTACATCCCACAAAAACCGAGATCCTGCACTGGCAAACTCCAGCTCTACTCGGCAAGTAACTTTGCAGGACTTGCATACGGTTTAAGTTCTAGCCCATGATGGTCTCTAAGGGTGGATACTGGCCTGAACCTTCAAAACCACAGCCTTCCTCCGTACTACTCCACGAGACTCCTGAAGTTTCTCTAGATTTTCTAAGGTTCCAGGTCTGGCTTTTCAAGTTGCCTCCGCGTTTTAAGCTCTGGATAAATTCTAAGAAAATGCTCGGCCATCTCGGCAGGGGCTTCCACGCTAAGCCTCACGCGCAACTCGCAGGCGGCCGCTTCCAGCCTGCATCGGCTGTGACCCCCAACTAAATGGGCCCAAAACTTCAAGCAAAAGCACTGACTGGCTGACAATAAGCCCAGCCTCCATCACCCGCATTTCTGTCGTGTCAATGCTTCTTTCCGTCTGGAAAGGTTCGTTGGGAGTACGTGAAGCGAATGTGAAATCATCGAAGTTTCAGACATTTGAAACTCCGTCGGGCACCTGCGTGGCCATTGAACATTGCAAACCCCATGGCTGCGCATGCAAAACCGACGGACAGTAACCTACTGAGGCAGATGTGCAATCACAACTACGCCCAGGTGTTCTCAGGTGTCCCTTCCTCTCTTGCTCGACCGATCGCCTTGAACAATGAAGCAGTAAATTCGGAAACCTCCTTCTCGACGAACGCATAGCCCTTCCTCTCCAGCCAAGCTACTTCGGCCTTCTGCGAATTTCCGAGTCCTTCGGACTCCTCAAGAAACTCGCGCTCATCTTTGGGCAGCCAGGCTAAGAAGAGGCGCTGCACCTCGCGAGAGTACGCAGAGGATGAGTCGGGCCTTTCTCTTTTGAAAGGCGTTGGAGGCCGGCATCGAGAGCACCCTTGAAACTTTGGGTTTCTTGGAACTCGGACTTTTTGCTCGAGATCTGCTCTCTCCGCATGCGCTCGCTTCCGGCCGTGGTGAAATCTTCGACTTTACCTCTGCCTCTCTTGCCGTTGAAATAATAGACTTCGAGGAGGGCGCAACCCATCTGGACTGCTCGCTCGACATTGCTGATCCATCGCGTCCACCATCTACAGCCCCACGGCTTCTTTTCACCGTACAGGCGTGCACCAGCAGGTGCCTTTCAGGTCCCGCAAACCAGCCTTGTTGGGGACGCGGTCGTGCAAGCCGAAGTCCCGGGAGCCCTCGGGCAGGAACACCACGGCTGCACTGACATCGTTGCGGCGACAGCCAGCGACTAGTGCGTCCCATGCAGTTTTGTATTTCCCAGGCCGGCTGCTCACGGCGGGGTGGCACCGGAGCACATTGCCTTCAAAAACAATCGTGCGCTGACGCGTGGCCTGCACGGCTTTCTCCAGGGTTCCCTTTGAAGGTCGGTGCAACTTCAGCCACTTCTGAAGAGCAAAGGCGGGAAGAAATATCGGGCCAGCTAGCGGCAAGCAGAGCCACCCACGGGCATTTCCCGGCCAGCGATCCAAGAAACAAGCACCCGCAGGCGGAAAAGGCACAGGCCAGGAGAGCAGCCTCAAGCCACAGCACCAAGATGCCCACGGAAAAGTTCTCGAGGCCGTGCGACCGCCATTGCGATGAGGCACGCGAAGCCAGTAAAGGGATGCAACAGACACAGACGAGAAGCGTTAGCTCGCTCACATCATCCCTATCTGTTCCCACACTTGCTTGGTAGCCTCTCAGCTCGGGCCTTGCAGCGGTGACCGCCTTCCGCCTCCCAATACTCAGACTCAGAATAACGTCTCGGGACAGCCGCGCAGCCACTCCCCAGGGAGCAGCAGGCGCAGAGGCACAGCAGAAGCCCACGGCCTGCAGCAGCTGAGGTCCTTCCGTTTGCGTGAAGGCGTGGGTTGTGAAAAATATCATAATGCCCAAACAAACTGCGATCAGGAAAGCCGCGGAGAAAATGATACGCCTTTGTCTTCGAAGGATGGGCTGCTCGACTCTCTTGCGCAACTCCTTCTGGAGCGCTTCCTGCCGCTCCTTCCGCAGGTGGGCTTCAGCTGCCGCTGCTCTCTCCTCCTCAAGGATGAACTTTGCTGTCGCATGCCTGAAGGTCTCTGGGAAATCCTGCGGCACCAGCAGGGCACCAACGGTTTGCGTCATGCCGCTTCCACGAATTTCCTGGCATCCCGCAGGCGCACTTCAATTTGGATATCAGCTGAATCCTCAAGTTCCAGCGGGCATCCCGGGCACAGCACATGCCACCCGCCCCCGGGACCTGCTCTCACCTCAATGCCCACTGCGAGGTTGTTCCACGCATTGAAGTTCTCTGCCCGGCAGGCTTCTGAATCGTTCTGCTCCCAAACCAGAGCGGCATTGCTTTCTGCAACAAGGACTCCATCTTGAGTGGAAACATGGCACTCCGGCTCAAGGTGCTTTGCAGTCAGTGGACTACATGGCACATCACCTGCACAGCTGACAGGTGGAGGACGTGCCCATGGCTCTGCCATTCATGCTAGCGTCGCTCTTGGAATTCTCATCGAATCAGGTTGTCTTCGTGCCCAAAACGATACTGTGTATGACCTAGTGTCAAATTTCAAAATTTTCAAGAGGTCGACCTAAAGATGGCTACCAGCTCCAATCTTTGGATGATTGCGTTCAGCAGATTTCAGTCTGTGTAGCATATTTCCTCAGCTGCTTGCCGCTTTCTGCGGGATTGCGCCGTACATCCCAGTTTCCTGAGCTACACGTCCTGGCAGGGATGCAACTTTTGAGACTTCTCCCGATGTTCATGAAGACCTCGGGAACTGTGTGGGACTTTGAGCAGCACAACAATGAGCATTGCATGATTCAGCAACAGTTGTGGGTCTTGCGTAGCACCTATATCCCCAGTACCCCAGCGATCCTCGCAACCCCAAGAATCCTTGCAAGCCACATAGCCCCTTGCGGATGCGAATGGGAGTCCATCGAAAATGCTCTGCGAACCCGTCATCCTAAGACTTGCGGCGGTCTTGATTAAAGTTGTAGAGGGATGAATTGGGATATGCAGGGATGCCACGGGGTTCTGTGGATTATCACGGTTATCGGGATTATAGGGGTTGTAGCTGCTACAAGCAGGATAACTTACAACAAGCGCAAGCGCGACCGTAGGGGTAGGGGAACCTCGATCCGCTTTCAAAGCAGGGCATCGGTGGTCCTACACCTTGCCAAAACTCCCCAAAATGCCTCTACATACCCGCAAATATTGCCAATATACACCCAATACACCCCCAACATGCTCCAAATTTCTCCGCATTAGCAAAAAAACGACTGCTTCTGCGCTGCGTAATTGACCAAAAGACTTAGCCGCTAAGCCCTGTATCCTTCCAACTCTTGACTAGATCAACCAGGACCATTTGCACCATCTCGCAGCCTATACCCCCCCAGTATATCCAAAAAAAAAACATTCTGGACTTAGGGTTTAGGGTTTAGGGTGTAGGGCTTAGGGCTTAGGGCTGAGCGTTTAGGGTTTAGGGTCTACAGTCTAGGGTCTAGGGTGTAGGGCATACCCCCAATATATCCCCAATGTCCAAACGGTTATGCACCATCTCGCGCTCACGATCACTGAGCATTGAACATAGCATGACTGAAAGGATTGCAACAGAAGTTGACAACACCTCCGACATTGGAAAGTGGGCCAGAGTTGCCCTATTCAATACACAATAATACCCATTGAGTATGTCAGGTATTTTGGGCATCTTGGGTATGGTGGGTAAATCGGAAATTTGAATATATTGGGTATAATGTCAAGCTTACAGAACTCATTAGGAGAGATTGCACTGCGAGTTGGCTATGGCAGTCGCACTTGGAGCAATCGCTGCCGCGCATAAGGGAGGGCGGAAGGGGATCCACCAGTCCGGAACCAGAGAGCTTGGGCACCGGCGCGCAGTCTGGGTGACTGGGTTTCCGATGCGTGGGTTCAAGTCTAAGCCTGCCTAGAGCGCTTTGCGTATTCACCCCAGGACGCTGTGTTTTTTTGCGGGGGGATAGAATTACGTAGAGCACGCAGATACAGACTGCTAAAGAATTGGATCATGTGAGGCGCAGCGCAAGGGGTCGAGCACCTGGTCTTAATTTCCTGGAACCCATCACTCTCAAATGTATGGAAAGCCTAGATTCGACAGCTTGCTTTGTTTGGTGGATCAAATTTAGGGTTTGGAAGTTGGCTGGTTGGGTAGACGCTCGACTGTCGACTCTTTGTGGTAAATCCAGTTCCGATTCAAGTGGGCTAAGATTTTCTTGGTCTGAAAAAGAATTACATTGTTCTTTTGCGGCTGATTTGAAATCATATCAATACAATGATGTCATGATCAAGGGAGGTGGTATTCATTCCGATCACCAATATGTGAAAACTCAAATCATTATTCAATCAATCAACTCACTTCAGAAATATTGCTAAGATTCAGGCGCAAATCACTCGGACAAGACCTTCATTTTTTTCTTCGGCGGAATGGGGAAATCCGACGCGTGACTCCCACACATCCTCGGGATTCGAGAAAGGCGCACTTGCCTGCATGAGCACTCCGCTCTTTTCCAGGCTTTGCTTGCTTGCTGTACTCCAATGCGTAGTCGCATTGTGAGAGGACTACACTCATGACCGCGTTTGGGCCAGAGCGGCCATTCTGTGACGGCATCCATGTGTGGCAACTCTTCGAGTCCCATCAGT